TGGTTTGGACATTTGAAGGGTTTCACTTTTCCATATGTTTACTCTCGTACTTTGCCACGTCCATGTTTATATTATAAACATAAAGTATGCATAGTAAGAAACAATAAGTAATGAGACAGGAGTAAAAATACTGAATTATATAGTAGTGAAAAGAGTGTAATGAGACTCAGATATGATTTATCAATTCTTCCTCAAATCCGTTTCCTAATAAAAATCAAAAATAATTTGATACTTTACTCATAATTAATTAATAAGTAATTTTTGAACAAATTTGAGTGAAAAACTAAGAGCATTCAATAATTTTCTTTTTAATGTCAACTCTGGTGAAAAACCATCATTGCTAATAGGTGATACTATGGGCTCAGTACGCAATTGGGATGCAGAGTTCTCTCTTGACAAACGAAACTTACGTTTTATAAGTCGCTTATCTTTCCTATGTTTCTGTATGGCGCAGAAGCATGGACGAACGATGAACGAGGCCAGTGAGGCGCGCACGCAGCAGAGGCGCCTGGGGAGACTCGGCAATGGTTTGTTTTAGCTAAATAGGTGAGTAACTGACAATAGATCTGTTTTGGATATTGCTAAACAATATTTTTTAAAACCATTTAGATTTGAAGTTTCTTATATATCAAACAATTAGTGTCGAGGCTCGAACATAGTTTAATCGTTGTAAGTTGATATTTATTATTATCGGAAGTGACAATTATACACTGCGATCTATAAGATCTATTGCGTTATCTCCAAGTTAATCTTAAGAAAAAAAGGCCAATGTATAAATATAATGATTTCTCTTCCTTATAGGTTACAGCCTGCATTCGATTCAATGAAAGTTGAATGAAGGCATTGAACTCGGCATTAGACTATTTATATCTTTCGCCTTTAGATTTCGATTAACCAGATTTCACCAGACTGTTTAACCAGATTTCACATGGTTACATTTTTTTTATTTAAATTATAATTTATTATAGTAATATGTATATCGATTTAAATAAATTGGATTTTAGAATAATGTATCATAATTCAGTTTCATTTGCAACATTTTATTTTTCCAACTTCTCATTCCCCGTCGACATGTAACGAATTTTTAGTCGTTGAACGTGAGAACGTGTAAGGATAATTTTCTTTATTAAATGTCAACTTTTCAAGTTCAAAAGTACACGAGTGCGTGCATAAATTAGTCCAATTGCTTATATAATTTAAATTTTTTGGCGTGCATTTGTTACAATTGTTCTGTGATTGGTAACACTCAAGGCAGACTGTCAAAGTTTTCAAGAACTTCTCTTATTCAATAAAGTAAATTATTTTTAAAAGAACTTTTTCTTTAGAAATTTCATAAAGAACTTATAATTGGTTTCTTTCGAAGATTTTGAAATATAATATAAATTGAAGAAAATATGACAGAAACAAAAAAAATAAATTGTACTTCAATTATTAAAAGTAATATTACTTTCGGTTCTATTACATTTTAATTTGGAACTTGTTTTTTTGAGAGTTTTTAATTTGTTTTCCAGAATTTTTAATTACAAAATTATTTTATTTTTAATATATTTTAAATTTTTTTATTTTATTATTTTGTTACATTTTAATTTTTATGTCCTTTCGACAATAAATATAATTAAAGTAAATCGGGCAATAATGGAGAGAAAATTAAATACCTAAAAATTATTTAATATTTTCGTGCTGAAAAGTTCTCTATAAGATTTTTAGTTCTCTACCAGTTAGAGGCAATAAGTTATTCTGGCATAGACTTGTTTTCATTCAAATAGATGACACTACAAAGCTACTAGATGTTATTACTAAACTTCTTCATAGATTGACATACCTTAATAATAAATGTGACTTCAATAGACTACTACAAATATTAGGCCTATGAAGAGGAATAAGAAAGTACAGCTTGTCGTCGCATCGGAATGAATCACGAGCTTTATCACAAAACTGATATAATTCAACGATTAAACATGCAGCAGCTTCGTTGGCTTGTTCATGTTGTGAGATGGGATGAAGATGCTCCAGCGAAAAAATTTTATCGAAGTTGTAGAAAGTGTAGATAAACACCGTATATTCGGTGGAGTGATCAAATTATGGAAGCACTTAATAAGCAAAGTTGGAGAAGGCATGCACGCAGCAAAGACGCCTAAAGAGACACATCTCGTGAGACTGAAACCCAGTAATGGGTTGTTGTAGTCATTATAGTCATAAATTATAAGAAAACTTCGGAATTGTAAATTATTACTGGCAATAGGTTGGATTTTCATTCTTCAGAACTTTGGTGCGGAAAGATATTTCCGAACTTTTAAACTATAAATTATATGATAACTATAGATTTGTAAATGACTAAAAATTGGTTTAAATAAACAAATAAGTCAATTTAAAAATCTATTTTAAGTACAGTGAAGTTTTTTTGATGACCGTATAGCTGTGTTAAATATTATCAAAGAAATATCGAACCCATATAAAACACTGAACCAAAGTTGCACTTGAATTGCGTTTTGGAATTTTGTTAATTTCTCATTCATTGTTAAACAGCAATTGCATTTGTTGCAACGCATAAATTACCGCTGTATATATTATTGCTTTTAACTGTTAATTCTTTATTTGTTGTTGTTGCTTAAACAACACCTGCACTTGTTGTGTTAAAATGACAAAAACGCATAACCTATCGCTACATATATGTAAATATATTTAATATTAATTTTTATTTGTCGAAAGTGACTCGTTTTATGACGAAAACAAACTGTGTAAAAGTTATAAGGTTTCGAGTAGAAATAAAAAGACAACAACTAAAATTTTAGTTAATGTATTGAAATTTGGCTGACCATACAATGTTCTTTCGGGTACTGCCAAGTACTTATCATTAGTCGTCTTAGGAAATATTCGAATTTTTCTAAAATTAGTTTATAGTTCGTACATAATTTATTTGGGCTGCAAGTGTCATGATTAAATATATACCATAGTCATATAAATATAGAAAAATAAATATATTGAACTATGAACTGTAATTTTTTTATTTTTCATTCTTGTTTAAACAATAATTGAATTGCTATGATATAATTAAAAAAAACCATATAAATATCACTAATTAGTCGAGTTGGCTTATGAACTTTGACTCTGAGCTTCAAATTTGGCAGGGTACAAACTCAACCCTTGGTACTTGCAGTTTCAAAAAATTATTTACGAATATAAATATAATAAATTTAATAATTATAATTATATATGTATAATTATATAATTAACTAAATATAATAAATAGTTCCAAGACCACTGCTGATGGGTATTTGGCAATACTCGAAACAGTTTTATGGTTTTGTGCAATTAACCATCATCAATTAATTAAAAATGATAAAAAAAATTTTTTGTTCTTGCAGTTTCACTACTGTTCGATGAAAACCTCTTTATTGAAGACATTAGTTTATATTAAGAATTTCGTTTCCTTCCTCAAAACAGACATTTAAAATCAATCACTATATGTAGAAATATATTTAACTTTTATTTTCTTTTTAGTTTTTTTATTTGTTTTTTGCAAAAACGTATTAACTTTCGCTATATAGGTATGTTTAACTATTGACTTTTATTTTTGTTTAATTTATTATTATTTTTAAGAGATGTTAAACTATTATTATATCTTTAGTTATTATATATTTTTTTTTAAGTCAACAGTTGCACTTACTATGTTATAATTAAAAAAAAACGCATAAACTTCCGCTATATGTATTTAACTATTAACTCTTATTTTTTTTTTTTAACTGGAACACTATTATTTGTGAAACATTTTTTTTTGTATTAAATTTCTTTTTTTTATATATTTTTTATATAAATTTGCTACTTGACCAATAAGCTGTTGCTGAGTCGATTTTGAATATTCAAATATGTAATCCTTTTTTTTTTTGGTGTTCATCCTAGCAGAAGTTTGGTACTCACATGTGGGATGTGTACACATCTATTGAACTGACACAAATCACAAAGTGAAAAGGTTGTAAAATATGCTCGTGGGTGTTTATGTAATAATTTTATGCCAATTTAAACTGATTAGAAATATGTCGAATAATGAAAAACAAATAAAGTACCAAAATAAACAAAGCAGTGAAAAAGAAATGACCACTTGCTTCGCATGTAAATTAGAGAAGAAAAATAAATGAAATTTCACAAAATAAAAAAAAAAAAAATAAAATAAAAAACATACAAAAATGAACAGATTAAAGTATTCACATACTATAGAAAATAGAATATATGAAATATATAGACAACCTTTAACACGCCCACATACATGTGAACACAGCATCGTCCGTTTAACACGACATGAATAATTAAACCAGAGAGAGGCAACGTTAGAACGTTTAAATAAGATTGATTGATTTATTGGCAAGTGAAGCAGCAAGTGGCACTGTGCAGCAGCACAGGCAAGTGATCAAATTAAGCGATTTGAACTGCTGATGCTATTTTACATAAACGCCTAAAAGTATGCAGTTCATAGTTGAATACGCACTCGCATATTGTACACGAACATCGCACAGACAACACCTCAGCAGGATGTCAACTGGAACTTATTTGTATTGTTGTATTAATGCGTCAACGTTGCTCTTGCTATTGTTGTTGCTATTGTTGTTGTTGCTGTTATTGTTGTTGCTGTTGCTGTTGTTGTTGTTGCTCGTTTGGTGTCTTTGTTATTTTGCAACTGATATCCTGTAGCGTTTAACACTATTAAGTTAAAGTGACAAATTGACATTTATCTCTTATTATCGTATTATCATTGTTATTACTGCATTCATTATAATGCTCGCCTAAATTAGTTAAACAATAAATAACAAATCATGAACTGTCACTTAATAGGAGAAAACGTCAACAGAGACGAAGACTCTAAGATATCCAAGAAGTACCGCTAAATTCTAAATTCACTATAAAAAATCGTCTTCCACAAGCAACCAGGATCAGTTGTGAAGGAAACGCCAAAAGTGTAGTGTTGTCCGAAATTAAATATAAAAGTCAAATACTATAATTTTAAATTGAATAATTTTATTTTTATAGTTTTTTTAGTGAAAAATGAGTGGTTTAAGTTGTTGCACTTTTTTGTTAATGTTGCTGTGCTATTACTCTTTAAGCAATTGCAAGGCAATAACCAATGAACATCAAGTAAGAGTTTAAAATTTTAAATAAAATAAATTCAAAATATTAAATAAATAATAAATAAAATAAATAAAATAAATAAATTCAAGGAAAATTTCTTTTTAAATATTGTCATTGAAGAATTCAATAAAGTATTGTTTCTATTTTCCATTGGTATTTCAGTTTGTGAAAGTTTTTATCCATACAATGGCATTCATAACTAAAATATGTAATTGTGCATTCCATATACGAAAAACATTCTATGCATTTAACAAATTTCTTAAAATTTCATACACTTTCGATTAGTGCCATTTGAGTTATTTCATGTTTCAGTAAAATAATGCATAAATTTCGACAAGGCCAATAGAAATTCAAGCACACACCAAACTCATGGCTTACTGGGCATACTTGAACCCAAAATATAGCACATGCAACCCAATGAACTCCGAAGTGGTCCGAAATAATCCTAAATGTATGCTTTAAAATGAATTAAATATTTTGTATTTGGCAGAAATGTTAGCATTATTTAAAGTTTTAAAATATATCTCAAAACCTTAGGTAAAAATTGTTTCTGGCATAAGTTTCTGTTGGTCAATGCACATCATAGTTTGAGTTGCAGTTTGAGTTGAAATACAGCTAAAATGCAACAATTTTCAATGCAGAATTTTTTTAATTTTCTTGGTTTTCTTCAGTTCTTTTCAATTAGTTTTTTCTCCTTCTCCTACTCTTTCTCTATTTGCTGAATGTAATGGGATTTGCAATGCTTGTACTTTTATATAACTTTTGCAGCTACAACGTTTTATTTATTTAGAAAAATTCTACGAATATACGATCTTTATTTCAAAATGAATTCACTTGTGGTTTCATTTGTGCTCGACGAGAGTAAAATTTCATGTCATTTCATTTCATGTTTCACGTTTAAGTAAATTTTATATTTAAATTGATTTCGTGGTTATTCATACGTGCTGTGGTTTTATGTGCAAGCAGCTTCCAAGTAATCATTTCTCTTTCTCATTATTGTTTAAATATTTGCAAATTTTCCATTTTACCATATCAAACTGCGATAAGTAGAAAATGATAAGTTTTGAAATGATTTAAATTGGAATTTATTTTCCAATAGGAAGAAAGGAGGGTGATAGTAATAACACTTTTATACTTATTAAATAAAAAAAATTCAATATAAATTTTTATGTTCTCTAATAAGAAATCTAGTTTTGAATCGAAAGAAGGGCAATAGTAGGAAAACTTTAATATTAAATAAATTAAATAATTTTGAATGAAAATTTTATGTTCTCTGCTAAGAAATCTGTTTTCGAATAGGAAGAAGGCAAAATTGAGGAAACTCTATTTCTAAATAAATAAAATAGTTAAATGTTTTTAATACTTTAGAATTTTTATACTCAGTATTTTATTTTAAAAACTAAATTGTAGAATACAATTTATTGTTAAGACAGTTTAGTCTTAGGCTTACTTGCGTTAACTTGAGCATTCTTGAAATAATAAGTTATTTCCAACTATTGAATTATAAACATGTCTTGAATGCCATTTGCCAACAAGATAAATACCAACAAGTACAACAGTATTACACTGTACTGTTTTGTTGTAAATTTATTTCAAATATTCTTCGCCTTTATCTCATGCAACATTTACATTTAGTCAGAGAGGGTCTTACAGTTTTCACCATTTAATATAAATATATTAATTTATGATATAATAAATTGTTTAAAAATGTCTAAAATGTTTAGTTTTGTAAAAGTATTTAATTTGTAGCGCATTTCTTTTAGAATTAAACATTAGTCATAAATCTCTTTTTTTATTTCGTTAACATTGTATATTAGTACATAATGTTAGTCAGAACAATTCGAAATGAATTAAGGAAAGTTGGCAATAAAACTATGATGTTGTCTATTATAGATAAAATCTGAACTCTAAGGTATTTTAAGAAATTTTTCTTAAATAATATCTGAGGTTGAAGCTTTTGAAAAGAAAAGACTTTTATGATAAATTAAAAAACTAAATAGATTAAATAGACATATGAAGATGATTTCATATATCAAAATTCAAAAATTCCTGATTTCTAGATAGAAATAGATAAACTAATTTTTTTTTTGAGAACATTTTTCTTACTAAAAAAATAATTGTTTCTTGTATTTATATTGATCACTGAAAAGATTTCTTTATTTCTTTTTTAGCATTTACAAAAAATATCATTCACGATCAAATACAATCCTTCAATAATCTCTCTTTTAGTGAAATTATTATTACTAAAAAATAGCTGGACCAGGTGAAAATTTATGCATATCTCTCTTTTATTAAAATTATTATTTCCAGAAAGTAACTTGATTAGGTGAAATTTTATGAATATCTCTCTTTTATTAAAATTATTATTTCGAAAAAGTAATTTAATCAGGTGCAATCTTATATGTCTTCCAATATGAAATAAGTCGCCGATTCAGCTTTATCTACTAAAGCTATTCAATTGAAATAAATTTAAAATAATAAATATTTCACAAACTTATGTTTCAGTTTCTAAATGTTAATTACATTGTTCTTCTTTTCTTTGTGATACCAACTCTACCAAAATGGTCTAATTATAGACAATCAAATTTTTTCACTCCTAATAGTATGCAATAAAATTTTTTAAAGAAATCGCTTGGTAAATAGAGTATTTAGTGCTATATCTTTTATATTATTTTCTGAAATATTATCCACAACAGATTCCAGCAGTACAAGCGACCAAAAACTATACTTAGTATCAATTTGACAGTATGCACTAAGAAGTCTAGATGACACTAAAATGACATTGAGCTATGGGAAAAATTGCAACCGATGGCTATAGTCTAGTTTTTGAAGGTATTGGAATTTTTCGCATCTAGTTTATTCTTATGAAATTTAAAGCTAGTCAATAATGCTCATAAAATAATGACGCTGATAGAGTCAAACAAGCTTTAAACAATACAAGAAATTGTACGAGTAGAAATATTAAGAATCCAGAATAACTTGATAGTTCTCCTCAAGTAATATCAGAAGTGGATATTCTTCAGTGGAATTTAATGGTTTCAGCGTTTAATGGATCATATTTTTCAATAATTATTTTGATATGTTAACAAGTCAACAACGTATCATCATGACTACCCCAAACAAAACTTTAGCTTGATTACCTAATTAATGAATTTTTGATTGTATAGGTTTGAATAATCTACCACATTCGCAAGGTCTTCCACTAATAAATCCATTTGTTTTACTTGTTTTTAGATATTTTGTGTGTTATAACTTTTAAATGAGATGTAGCTGTTAGTTCAATATCTTATTTCGTTCATCGTCAATAAAGAGATATCCTTCCATTAACGAGTAATTCAGATTATTGAGTTATAAATTAAAGTTTTATGGTAGATGAAACAAGCTCATAATGTTCAGGTTTCATAACTTTTACATATAAAAAATATTATTTAATATTTCAGCATTTTGTTAAAGTAAGTAATAGAGTAATAGAGTTCCAATAATTAGATGTAACTTTAATCTCAAAACATAATATTTTTTCTTTTAATAAATATGGTAGAAGAGTATGGAAAACCATATCTAAAAAAATATATGTTTAAACCCTTTTATGTTGCGTGTGTTCCGGGATCTTATTTATATACTCCCGGGTGTATTATGTATACCTACATATGTTTAAGAATAAACTTTGTGGTGTTGGCTAAAAGGTTAATTGAATAGATCAATTAACTTACTTAATTAAATATTTAATACGAATTATTCTTTAATAGTATTAATAATTTTTGCCACATAAAATTTTATTTAAAGAATCATATTATTCATAAGAATAATAACTGAAGTTTTTATTTCGTTTCTTTTTCTGTTATATATATTAACAAATATGGCAAAAGTTTCGTTGTAACTGAGTTTAATTCTCTGGATATTTGTCATAAAAATAAGTAAGAAATTTATCTTCAGTAACTTAATTTGATTCTGACACCAAAATTTCGTTAATACGGTTTGCGTATTGATTTTCTCTTAAGGAATACTTAGGGCTTGTTGAAATGAAGTTACAAATTAAAATATAAGTATCTGTATAGGCATATATGTATGTATGAATTGGTAGGGAGAGGGAACACTATAGACCTGTAAATCCCAAAGGTTTCTCGTATTTGTATACAAGCAAATAAAAGTACGGAAAAAAATGAAAAAATTAAACAATAACCTTACACGTGTCGAAAGTTGTGAATAACAGTGCAAATCTTACTTCGACAAAGTGAAATGAAAAATAAAATGCAAAGCAATAAAACTGAAACAAAAAAGAAAATACTAAAAAAAAAGTTGTAAAAGTACTTTATGAACTGTGACAGCTTCTGCTTCAGCTTCAGCTTCAGTTTCAGCTTCAGCTTTAGCAACAGCATCAACAGACACAATACAACCTTAAAGTCGCACTTAATAATAAAAACGGAATGAAAAAATTTCATGAAACTCTAATGGCATTTCCGTTTTTTGTTTGTGTTTTTTTTCCGTACACTTCCTGTACATTTAGGCTACGAAAAAGGTGGATTTACCGAATCACATCGAAAACGCACCATTCACACCCGAACAGCAAATTAGGCACACAGCAGTAAAAACTGAGGCGAGGCAGAAGCGATCTCAACGCGATTTGGTTGAATATAAAGACTTGAATGACATTCTTGAAGACCTTGAGGATAATAGCATTGCCCAAGCCGCTGCAGCAACAACACCAACACAGGACTTCGATTTGGATAATATGCCACCAGTTACCTATTACTTACTTTTGCAAAAGTTGAAGCAGTGTGAGTATTAAACAGTCTATATTATATGAGTGAAAGGAACACCCCTATAAAATTATATGATATATATGGTATATGCATAATATTAGAATGGAGTAAGACACAATAGGTGGTCAGACTGATTAGTTGAATTAATTTTCTATTTTCGTGATATTTTTATCACGCTAATGCGGTGTTTTGTTTTGTTGAGGGAATTTATTTTTTAAAACTTTTTTTTATTTTAAATATTTTATATATGTTCAGGTATTAGTTAGGTATATATATATTTTTTTTGCTGTTGCTTTATTAAAAAATACTAATTCCTAATATATTTCCTTGTGGTATTTTTAATCTCCATTGTAGTACAAAGCAATGAGCCCACATATCGCGTGCGTACTCCACGCCTTGGCCGCAGCATTGACTTTCAGTTAATGGACGGTGGCGCTAATGGCAATCCTGAGGATGAAGTTGGCATGTCACGACAATTTGTATCGCGCGTCATTAAGAAATCGGTGCCATTTAAACCTCGTCTGGGAAAACGTACACAAATGTGCGACTTTTAATAAATTTTTTAAACCACAATTTTATTTAATTTCATTTTTTTCATTTCTATTCTTAATTATATATATTGTTGTTATTGTTGCTAGCGTTCATTGTCAAAGGATACAAAATTATGCAAGGTTGAGGTGAAAAAAATTAAAAAAAAATATATATAAAAATACACTTATACTACAAATAAAAGTAATTGAAATATATGTAATTGCCAACAATGTGGATAATTTTAATTGAGGCTTTGCTTAGGAAAAAATTTTCAATGTTAATGAAATAATAACAAAATAAAAAAAAAACAAAAAGGATGGAATGGAATACTTTCGAAAGGACAAAATAAAAAAAAAAAGATAAACAAATTTGAACTAGTTTAAAAATACTTAATATATTATTCCGATAATTATATAGTTGCAACATGAAAGTGGTTCCATTAGTAACGATTTGTAAATTATTAAAAGGATATCAGTATAGACAGGCAGTAATTTTGTTCTTTCATATTGTATAACTGAGAAAATTTTTTTTATTTCATTTTCATTGCCTTCAATTAAAATTATTATAAAGAATTTGTTGGACAAAAAAAAAAAAAAATGAAAATACTTTAAAAGTAAAATTATATATATATATATTATGCATTAATTTAGTTTAAAAGTGCAAAGCATTTGTTGAGGATACGATTCTCTAAGTAAGAACATTTTGACGGATCAAATTAAGGATCATTGAGTAATAAAGAAATTAACCTATACTAAACACTGTACTATCTCCTGATAAGTGTTGACAAAAGAAGTCAATTGTGAAAAAATATATTTAGCAAAATATTTCATTATTCAATATTAAATCAATTATTAACAAAGAAGAATACTTTATATGTCTATTATTAAACTTTTTAATTTATATATCTTTATCACAAAAAAAGAACATTTTCTGACTTTAAATGATTTGAATTAGATTGAACTTTAATAAAAGTATTTAAATCTTTAATATTAATTCAATTAAAAAGAAACGAAGATGCCATAATATTACTGTATTTTTACTGTTATTAAATCTTTAAAGGCATATATATTTATCACAAAAAAAAACATCTTTTGAATTTAAATGATTTTATTTTAATTGGATCGAATTTTAAGAAAAGTATTTTAATTTTTAAGATTAATACAATTAAAAAGAAAAGAAGATTACATGATATTACTATGCAAATTTCTGAAGATTGTAAGGCACTTAACTTTATAAAGAACAAACTCAGTGTTTGCATGACGTTAATTGTATCTAATTTTTAGAGAAATATTCAATATTAATTCAATTATTATTAAACGAAGTGTATAAGATATTACTATGTTTAATTATTAAAATTTATAAGACATATAGTGAGAAGTATATATACATATATATTTATCACTTATAAAGAACAACCTCTGACTTTCAATGATTTTAATTGGATCGAAATAATAGCTTTCTGTAAAGAGAATTATATAAATATTATAAAAATGGCTTTTAAATTTATTTCTGACAGTTTCATTAGTAACTAAAATATGCGACAAATTGTTGAATTTAATTATTAAAAGATACTCATACGCACTGTAAGCCAAGTACACTTCAGTATGAAGTAACGTATACGCACTGTATGCTACTGAATAAGAAAAGAGCCAAAAACTTAAAATAAAAAAACGTGTACATATATATCTATCTATATAAATATATACATATATATATAATATGGAATGTAATTTTTAATAATGTTATTTATTAACATTTTAAACTATACCATTACCACTCTACTTAACTACATTATTGCTTTATTCCATTTAAAAATTATTATTTCATATATATAACTGAATTATTACTAACTTTTCTTTGCGGGTATAATTTATTACAGTCTCAGTATGTGTTCAAGTGATTGTACTTGCATGTATTAAAATAAATGAATCAAATTTAAGTACTCGAGTAAATGTTGAAGAAAATTGTACACAACCGAATGATATATGGACATATATAAATTGTAATATATAAAATGGAAAAAATATATAAAATAAAGAACAAAATTAAAAAAAAAATAAAGAAAATGCAAAAGTGCGTTAAAGGCACGTATTAAGATAAAAACAAATTCAAATGGCGTCATTTATACTGTATAAAATCTATAGAAAAGGAAAAGTTTAGTTCAGCACAACAATAACAAATGCTCGATTTATAACAATTACATACGTATAGATATGTGTACATGTCAGAATATATATATACATATTTGTATATGTATGTACATTACTGCAGGCTATGTAGCAAAGGTAAAAGTTACTCTTAAATGTTACTCATAATTTTGAAAAGTTTTTGGGCTAATGGCACTTACCGAGTCTTATCAATTGTTGCAATACGTAACCTGAACTTACCTTAACTAAATTTATGTTGTGCGTTCACACTTAAATATGCACAGACGTACTTTACCTTTTTATGCCCCCAAACTGCTGCTATAACATTAATTTCATTGCATACTTTTCGGTTACTAAATTGCTTATGGCATGTACGTACATTTTAGCGCTTTAAGACGTGCTACTTAAATGACAGCTGAGCAGCATGAAAGATAAAAACAAACCAAAAACAACAAAAACAACAACAACAACAACAACCACAACAAAAATAAATAAAAATTAAATCATGGGAAAACATAACGAAACGAAACCGCATGAAAGAAATGCCTAAAATTTAGTGGCATGATAACTCATATATCGAAACATGATAACTCCGTAAATGGCAATAAATTTAAATCTTTCCCCAAAGCAATTGAGCTTGAGCTTAGCATGTACGAACTTGCCTAGAAGAGATACTAACACGCACATATACAGTAGAGTTGATCACATATACATGAGTACATATTAGCGGCGGGGGGGCCGTGGTAGAACAATTTTGCTGATTAAATGCCATACTGCTGCCATTATATTTGTTTTGCATTAGTGTACTCTACGGCCACAGCGCCTGTAGAGCTTAAAAGACTTAAGGTTCAGCTCAGTTGTATGCCAATAAGTAACTAAAGGATTACTTCCACGTTATTGTTTGTGTACAGTTAGTATGTATATTTGGTACCTTAAGACATATAAGCATGTTTGGTATTTGTGAAAGCCTAAATGGGTAGGTTCTACAAAATTTATTTTTCCTTAACAAAATTTATATGCAAAATTAGCTGCAAGAAAAAATGTGTTGGGAAATTGTTCAAAATAAATAACCGTTTTTTTTTTTGCTATACTTCACATCAAGAGAAAACCTTTTTCCTTTCTCAACGAAAAAAAAAACAGAAAAAAAATTATAAGAACAATGAAAGGCACCACAAAAATGTACCCTTTAAAAACATTTGTATATCTTTGAATTATATTCCAAAAATATTTTATGTTTAACCATTTTTATGGTTTGTATTTACATAATAACACTAAAAAGTTTTCGAGCCTGTTGTGAATTTATTACAAATTGTAAAGCTACTAAAATTTTGAGATTTTATTGCTTATTTCCTTCTCTGTTTCGGTTTGTTTAATCAAATTTAATGTTGAAAAATTTATTGTCCATTGTCTGCGAAGGCGACTTTCATCAGAATGACAGCAAGAGTTCTTGGTTCACATGGTATGATATACATATTAAATTATGCTTCTCTTGATTTAACAATATTTAAAATTACTTAAACATATGTATATTATAATATCTAATATAGTTTTCAATTTTCTAGGTTACTCATCTACTTTACGCTATGGAAATATAGATTTAATTATATTTCTTTTGATTAAGTTATATATATATATCGTTGTTGTTGTTGTTGTTGTTGTTGTTGTTGTTTTTGTTGTTGTTGTGATTTGAGTTAGTGGTATTGCGCAATTTTACTCTTTTGTGGCTGGGGGGCTTATTCCTGCCACATACTAAACTTTAATTATACTAGAATCACTACCATTTATTTTTCTTAAATAAAACGAATAAAACTTAATAGTACTAAATCTGTTCACATTAACTTCACAAATCGGAAAATTCAAAATAAGCCTGTTTATTTGAATGGTTGTGTAATCCCATGCAAAAATACTGCTAAATATCTTGGCATGACGCTAGATGTGAAATTGCGTTGGAAAGAACATGTCTAAATAAAAAGAGAAGAGCTTGATATTAAATGGAAGAAACTGTATTGGCTTATGGGAAAGAAATCCCAACTCTCACTAGAAAACAAACTTTTATTATATAAACAGGTCCTTAGACCCGCTTGGAGTTATGGCATACAGATTTGGGGCTGCACAAATAAAACTAACCGTATGGTTATTCAACGTTTCCAAAATAAGGTATTGAGGTGTATTGTTAAAGCGCCTTGGTATATACGTAACTCTGATCTTCATCGGGATCTCGACATTGAATATGTAGCGGACGTCATCACTAAGTTTGCAAATTCTCATGCCTACAGACTTAGGCATCACGTAAATGCAGAGGCTATGTGTCTCTCTTATCCTATGCAATCAGATAGAAGATTCAAAAGAACTCTACCCAACGATCTTGTTGGTAATTAGCTTAAGCATCTTTACTTTAAATTCAATTTTATATTTGTTAAACTAAAATTGCTTGTTAGTTTCATTGTAATAAACTAGTTGCAGTATTATATTAAATTAAAAAAAAAAAAAAAAAAAATTTTTTTCTTCTAACTGCTGACGGACCGTAGATCAGCATATCTTCCAGTGCGTCCTGAGATAGACTTATGGTTTGTTAGGGCGGGGTTGGGTAACGTATCAACTTTTGTGAATAATTTTAGGGCTCTGTTATATATAAAATTAGTTTAACATATATGTATATAATAATATCTGATATAATTTTGACAGTGTTTTAACTAGTTTACACATATGATTTAAATAATATCTAATATGATTTTCAACTGTCTAAATTATTCATCCACATTACGCTATGGACATGTGAATAATCAGAAATAACCAAGAAAATGACTTGGAAGGTCTTAAAATGTGAATATGGTATTTCGAAAGAGTTAAGAGCAGAGAGAGTCACTTATAGTTAACACTTGCACATAAACAAACATGATGGAAATTCAGTCACTATCATTAAACTAAGGAAAAAATCAGACACTCATGGCCTTTTCGATTGATAAATCATGACTCGGTCTAAATTAATACTCGATCTGTTAAATTTTGTTGCCCAATCGAACATTTTTAGAGTAATCTATCAATTTTGTAGTAGTGTTAGCAGACATTTATATATTTCATGAGTATTTATACCGTATCAAATTACACTATATTTGTCAAATTATTTAAAGCAGCTGTTAACTACTCTGGCGAAAT